ACTGGACATGCATTCAGACGAATTCTTAATTTTAGATGTGTTGACATTGTAGTATCGTTCTGAATACAATCGCTATATAATTAATCACATTAAATCAAAAGTTTATCACTGCCGAATCAAAAACTTATCGAATCGGCCAAATAATCTTTCGGTCAATTTTTTTCCCAGATGTCCCAAAATTTATGAGAACAGCTGTAATGGGCGGCTGCGAGTAATTCCGGCTTAATTTTTTTAGCCAATCAAAATCGAGGATCTGCCGCGCATTTTTTGTGCGTTCAACCCCTTTCTGTCAGCACTAGCGTTGCTTTTACGTTCAGAACTGCTGACGTATGTTGATTTCCTCAGTGGAAGGCACTTTAATGCAGCACAGATTGCTGGCAATATAACATTGTTTACATAAGTGCCTTCATTTTGTAATTCCTCAAATTCCGGACTAAACGCCGGGTTATTCCAAGCATCTCTCCGAAAGATTTTCTGATAAGGCGTTTAGAACAAAGTAATAGATGCATATATAATGTTACGGAATATAAAAAAAATGCTTACAACGAATCTAAAATTTTCTCAGTAACATTTGCAAGCTCAGGACCAGATTCTTTCCACTCCCTGTTATGAATAAGTTTTCGTGGAAAGCTGGTTACATAATCCTCAGCAAACTATCCACAAATTCTTTACACTTTCTTTGCACAATTGTTGGAAGAGATCCTGGTACCATTTTCCGTTTCGGTTCCATAAAGGAATCTCGTAGTTCATCATCCTCCAACTCCTGCACTAATTTTGAGTCGTCACTAATAACTTGGCTGGCAAGAGGATTTCTCGGGTAGATTTACTCGAATAAGACCAGAGTGGAGACTTTGATAAAGCGGTGACTTATTTTTTTTAAGCTTTCTCTTTAACTTATCTATGTTTTTTGCAATCTGATACGATTTAAGTGGTCTTTTCTCGTTCGTTTCAACGGCACCAATGTCACGCAAACTACAACCACCTTCAAAAGCATCCTCAACTAATATAGGTATACCATACGTTAGTATTCAGTTATATAAAAATTTCATAATTTCTAACCAATTTGGGTATTTCCCGTTAAAGCAGCAGATAGATATAAATAGTTAGCCGATAGTTGGCCGGCGGACCCTTAGTGTACATGCAAAGGGATACAAAAGTTCCGTTTGATGCGATTTGCCCAAAATCGGTATCTTTTCAGATGCATCTTTGTACCTCTTATTGAAATTAGATCAAAAGTGCAATTTTGTCTGTCCACACGCGTGTCGCGTAAATTAAAACCAGTAAAGGTCAAAAAAAAAAAATCTTAGAGTAATTACGTTTGTACTGTACAACTATGTAGATTAAATAATCTTTCTTCCTTTCTAATACTTATTCTAGACGCTTCCTTTGATTTGCTCATTATTCTTGATCTAACACTGTAAGCCTCTAAACTCAAATTTACACACACCTTATCTCTAAGTAAAAAAAAATTAATATTTTAAATATTTTAGCTCCGGACCTATAATGCTATGCATTAGCCTAGTTATAAATAAATGCACATTCGTATTGTTATGTTTTATCACGACTACGGTATTATCCTGGTAACATATGATTTTATCACATTGAAGTCACAAATGATATTTTCTTTTGCGATTACACGTTATCATTAGCTCTAGTAATAATGGTTTGATAAGCCAGTGCAAAAAAAGATGCTCAGAACAAAAAGTTTGTTGACTGTAACGATGAACCCTCTGAACATCTTTACTATTCGTTGATATAATAAATGTTTCGTGACTTATTTATTCTAATAGCACGTTTAATAGATTAAAAATATTTTCTGCTTATTAAAATTTAATTTTTCGATATGTTTGACCTATTAATCAAGACTCATAATAAATTAAAGTATTCAGTGACATGACAAGCACATTCGGACGATTAAAATGTTTTCCACAAGTAATATTTAATTTCAACTCATTTCCGATACATTTTGATTTATTGATTGAGGCACTTGAGAAATTCAATTTCCGACTAATTAAAATTTTTCTTTTGATCCATTGATTAAAGTGCCTTAATTGAGCTAGCCTTGGGTGCTCTCAAATACCTAAATTAATAGGTCAAACTCAATTTTTAATTAGTGAAAAATAGTTTAACCAGCCAAGTTATCCATCATCACGATGAAAAAAAGATTGAACCCATCTTTTTCAATTAATTATAGTGCTTGTGCACAATCTGAATCACTAGCCAATCAAATGCTTAAGAACGCCTTATCACGGTTTGCAAATTCCTGGTGCATAGCAATAGTGATCGTTTAAGTGATGACCATCACTCGCACGTTCTATTACGTCAAACGTATTGATCTATTATTTTAGTAATTGAGCAGGATTATTCTCAAAAGGTCGTTCGATTTTACATGTAATAGAAGTATATTATTAGCAGCAAAACCGCTAGTACCCAGAAACTGTATACCAGGTTGGGTTCGGATGAAGGTCCGGAAAATGTCCGAATTTTATTTTATTTTTTTCTTTTTACTAAGACTTTATTTTTCAATCATAACGATAGAACATAACTAATTCATGAATAATACAAGTAAATTTTGAATTTCGACATTATAATAGTTTATTCTTTTTAACCATTTGGTTTGCTTTCTGTGACGTTCTTTAATAAATTATTACTTTTTTTTTTGCAGTTAATCATTTTTTACGCCCTTCATTTCTACATACGCACATAACTTTGTTTCTAATTCCGGTTGTCATACCATTCCAGCCTAGCTTTTCGGACAATCATCCGATCCCAACCTGATACAAGTGCAAACCGCTACTCCCGTGACGTCACAAGATCCGGGAAAAATGAGCATGGTGGACAAACCCGAATTTGGTGATGATCGTCATAATTGAATAAAAAAATTTTTCTAACTTTTTATATGCGTTAAAGTAC